ACACACACACACACACACACACACACACGCACACACACACACACACACATACACACACATACACACAAATACTACACACAATTTTTTTTCTTTATTCATCACTCATGTGTATGTCCTTCATTTTATATCACCTCTCTGCTGTTGGACATGACTGACTTGACACTTGACATGTTCCTCTCACTCGAGCAAAAACCGTAAGCAAGAACGTATGACAAGCGGACCCAGAGATAATCTACAGGCTAAGTCTTTGAAGTTGTAGAGCCACATAGAGCTATCGGTGACGAGAGAGAGCAAGGACAGGAAATGTGACAACCTCCACCACCCACCAGGCTGTAGTGAGATCGTGCTTTCTGGTTACAAGCACCTAATTATGTAACTTGTTATTGTGGGTGGTTAGCGGGTGCTCTGGTGTGATTTTAATGGTTGATTTTGGTTGAATATTTTGTGGGTATACTTAATACCCTAAGGAACAACTTTGCGCAAAAATTTTGATGTTTTCCCTCTTGTCCGGGTTCACGCCATTTTCATGTCAATTTTTAATGGCCTATTTGCTTCTTTTCCTATCAAACATCTGTCGTCTTTATCCCCCCCTCCTTCTATTTTGTCTTTGTTACTCTCTTGTAACACCTCCAATCTTCGGCACTTATATGACCTTATTGTGTTGCAAGTGCCGTAAAACTCCTACTAAAACTAAACTTGTTATTGTCTTTTTCGAGGGTTTTTGTTTTGTTTTGTTGTTGTTGGGGTTATTTTGTTGTTGTTTTTTAATTTGAGTGCTCTTTGTCCTTGGTGCCCCTCACAAGTTAAACATTTAAGCTGCGACTTTTGATCTTTGCTGTGTTGCCTCTTTGGGGTCAAGAGACGATCGTTTTCAATGTTTAATTAAGTGGGGCTTGGGACGCTATAATGTCGGGGGGGTGGGGTTGATTTTTTAAAAACTGATCGCGTTACAGGATTACGACTGTAAAACTGTTTTCCAAATTTCTAAAAAGGAACTATTATACTTTTCGTGGGTGGTTGGCGGATGCTCTGGTGTGGTTTGCTCCTTCTTTCCTGTCAAACCTCTGTCTTCCTTATCTCTCCTCCTTCTTTTTTGTGTTTATGTTACTCTCTCTTGTGATTTCACTTCGGTGCCTCGCCTCACAAATAATGAGACATCTAAATAGACAACGAAGTTTTGCTTCTTTTCCGAAAGTGCCCTAAAAACAGCACGTCCTCAAATAACCAGACAGAGTGTGCCCAGTGCCCAGTGACTAAACCTGGGTATTTCTTGAAGAGAATGAAAAGTCAATTTTTAGTGTCTT